ACCCCTCCCCCCTGCTCCCACCCCTCCCTGCCCTTGTCCCAAGCCCCTCCCCAGCTTTCCTGGAGCCCCTTCAGGCACTGGAAGCTGCTGTAAGGTCTCCCTGGAGCCTTCTCTTCTCCAGGCTGAACCCCCCAGCTCTCCCAGCCTGTCCCAGAACATTCACAACGTCCCCGGCTCCACCCGCTGCTGCAGGAGCTTGTCTGGGGTCGGGCTGCAGGGCGTCCTCGCTCTCTGGAAACTTCCACGGGGGAAATTCCCTTTGGGAATGCCGGTGTGCAGGAGGGGATGAGCCCAGCCAGGAGTGTGCAGGGACACCCCCATCTAGCGGTGCCCGGCACCTCCAGCCCCGGGGGAGCAGGGTCAGCGGGGCTGGAGGTGCCAACACTCCTCAATGGCTTCTCCCGGGGAGCTGGGAACAACCCCCACCCCATCTCCTGCCCCAGGAGGGACCCCCGGCTGCTCACCCTCCTTTCGGCCGGTCAGCACAGCCTGGTTTGTTGGGGAAAAAACCGAGCATCCCACACTCCAGACTCTCAGCAGCTCCTGGTGGTCATGAGCCTGATCCCCCCAGCTGAGCCTGATCCCCCCAGCTGAGCCTGATCCCCCCAGCTGAGCCTGATCCCCCCAGCTGCCACCAGCTCAGCCTGATCCCACCACCAGCTCAGCCTGATCCCACCCGCTGAGCCTGATCCCACCAGCTCAGCCTGATCCCACCACCAGCTCAGCCTGATCCCACCACCAGCTCAGCCTGATCCCAGCAGCAGCTGAGCCTGATCCCAGCAGCTGAGCCTGATCCCACCACCAGCTGAGCCTGATCCCAGCAGCTGAGCCTGATCCCACCACCAGCTGAACCCACTGGCACTGCAGAGCAGTGACCTGGGCTGACCAGGGGTCTTGTCCCACCCCACAGCTCAGTGGGATGAGGAGCCCTTTGCCCCCCCACCACACGTGGGACATCACTGGCTTCTCCAGCTCGCTGGAACCACCGAGGTGGGGCAGAGGATTCCAGAGGAGCCAACAGGCTGGGGAGGAGCAGGGTTACCTCCCAGCTCCAGCACATCCTGCTCTTCTCCCCCCTGGTTGCACAGATCCCAGCACAGGCTGGACATGCTGTTCCCACCAAGGGAAGAGATGGACACGTGGGAGGTGACCCTGCCCAGCACCCACCCCTGTCCCAGCTGCCATTCCCAGCTCCCCACCACCAGCAAGCTGGGACAGGGTCCAATGGGATCCAAGGTGGGGTGTCCCCTGGGATGGGGAAAATACCCATGGCTTGGGGACAACTGTGGCTGCTGGTGGGTCCCTGTGCCCACAGCCCCGGGCAGGATCAGGCGGGGTCTCGGGGGGGTTCTCCTTCCTTCCTTCCTTCCTTCCTTCCTTCCTTCCTTCCTTCCTTCCTTCCTTCCTTCCTTCCTTCCTTCCTTCCTTCCTTCCTTCCTTCCTTCCTTCCTTCCTTCCTTCCTTCCTTCCTTCCTTCCTTCCTTCCTTCCTTCCTTCCTTCCTTCCTTCCTTCCTTCCTTCCTTCCTTCCTTCCTTCCTTCCTTCCTTCCTTCCTTCCTTCCTTCCTTCCTTCCTTCCTTCCTTCCTTCCTTCCTTCCTTCCTTCCTTCCTTCCTTCCTTCCTTCCTTCCTTCCTTCCTTCCTTCCTTCCTTCCTTCCTTCCTTCCTTCCTTCCTTCCTTCCTTCCTTCCTTCCTTCCTTCCTTCCTTCCTTCCTTCCTTCCTTCCTTCCTTCCTTCCTTCCTTCCTTCCTTCCTTCCTTCCTTCCTTCCTTCCTTCCTTCCTTCCTTCCTTCCTTCCTTCCTTCCTTCCTTCCTTCCTTCCTTCCTTCCTTCCTTCCTTCCTTCCTTCCTTCCTTCCTTCCTTCCTTCCTTCCTTCCTTCCTTCCTTCCTTCCTTCCTTCCTTCCTTCCTTCCTTCCTTCCTTCCTTCCTTCCTTCCTTCCTTCCTTCCTTCCTTCCTTCCTTCCTTCCTTCCTTCCTTCCTTCCTTCCTTCCTTCCTTCCTTCCTTCCTTCCTTCCTTCCTTCCTTCCTTCCTTCCTTCCTTCCTTCCTTCCTTCCTTCCTTCCTTCCTTCCTTCCTTCCTTCCTTCCTTCCTTCCTTCCTTCCTTCCTTCCTTCCTTCCTTCCTTCCTTCCTTCCTTCCTTCCTTCCTTCCTTCCTTCCTTCCTTCCTTCCTTCCTTCCTTCCTTCCTTCCTTCCTTCCTTCCTTCCTTCCTTCCTTCCTTCCTTCCTTCCTTCCTTCCTTCCTTCCTTCCTTCCTTCCTTCCTTCCTTCCTTCCTTCCTTCCTTCCTTCCTTCCTTCCTTCCTTCCTTCCTTCCTTCCTTCCTTCCTTCCTTCCTTCCTTCCTTCCTTCCTTCCTTCCTTCCTGGGTCTGCTGGCATCCCCCCCACTTGCAGTGAAGTGGGTGGCAGGGCTACCAGCCTGCACCCTGCCCTGTGCCCCCAGCTGTGCTGCCCACCCCAGGAGGGCACCAGGAGCTGCAGAGACCCCCATGGGTGTGGAGGAGGGGCACCCACAGCCCTGCTTGCACTGGCTCCCCATCCCTCAACCCCTCCCAGCCCCCCAAATCCCATGGGATGCCAGGGGCTGCTCACGGAGCAGGAATCCTGGGCACAAACCACTGGCACAGACACCGACCCCGTTAGTCATTTGAGGTTTGAAATTTTATTTCTTATTTCCATGGTGTGAATTCTTGGCTGCTGCTGCCCACCCAGCCCCTGCTCTGGGGCTCAGCCCCAGCTCCCACCCCAGCACCAGCCCCTCTCCCCAAGCTCCTGGGGACATCCCAGCCAGGGAACAGGGACATAAAGCCACCACCAGCTCAGCCAACCTGCTGCCGGGGGTCGCGGGACCAGCCCCACACCAGGCACCAGCAGCACTGCCCCAGCCCCACTCTGCTGCTGGGACCTTCCTTTGTTTTCCCCACAGGATGAACCACAAGTGATAGGCAGCCCCAGGCAGCAGGATGTGGCCTGAACCCTCCTGCTCTTCTGGAACCCTGAGCTACCCGGAAAACAGAGCAGTGTGCAATTACAGAGCCCAAAAGGCACGGGAAAGGGAGAGAGGTGGCCAGGCTGAAGGGGTAACAGGCATCACCAGCCTCCCCAGGCTGCTGCCTGCACAGCCCTGGGCTTGGCAGCAGTGGGATGGGGTGGGGGGGGGCACAGGGAGCTCAGCACCACCCCCGGGGCTGAGCCAGGCTGCAGCTGGGACCAGCACAGCCGAAGCTACATGGAGTTGACTGGTGGAGCAAAGTGAGCACGGGTGGAGGGCACAGTGATGCTGGGGGGGTTGTTTTTCACCATCCTGGGCCACAGCAGCACCAGAAACATGTGGCTACAAGAAGGAGGGGGAGGCTGTTGGGTTGTTCCAGTGGGGTCCTCAACCCACACGATGGCTCCTGTCCCCAGGGCCACCACATCTGTCCAGTGCACAAGGGGACCCTCCGGGCGGGCAGAGCTTCACCAGCAGAGGCCAGGGAGGAGAGCACAGCTTGTGAGAGCAGCAAGCTCCCCAAATCCTCTTGGCCCAATGAGCACCTAACAGTTCACAGACTCTCCAGGCAGAGACAGTCTCATTTCTACATGTTCAGTGTATGGAGGGGCCACCAGCTCCTGCCAGGTGACCCGCCGAGGTAAGGACCAGAGGTTTGTCGTGGAAAGCACATCCCTGCAGTGACAGTGGGGGTGACAGACACTAGGGCTTGGGAGGCAGTCGAGGGGTTGTTAAATTACACACAGACACGCTCACACACGCAGACACACACAAGCTTGTCTGTAAACCAGACTCCAGAAGGTCCCAGAGATCCGTGGCTGGTCCCACAGCCTCCTCACATGTTCCCGCGGTACGTGATGTTGGTGAAGGTGGATGTGGCCTCTTTGTATAGAGGGTTGTTGCCCTGGAAGAAGAAGGGAAAAAAACATCATCATTCATGCTTTGGCAGCAGCATTTGTTCTACTGTACAGCCAGGGAAACTGAGGCAGCACTGAGTGGTGGATCCATGACTGCCCTCAGGGCTTTGCAGTTTAGTGGTTCCCCATAAGGGGAGAGCAGGAAAAAGCTGCTGCAAAGGAGGGGAAAGCTCAGGAGCAGAGAGGCCTCCTGGAAGAGCCACCCAATCCCACCCCACTCCTTCCCTCCTGTGCCATCCCAGCCCCCTCCCTTGTGCTCTGGTGCCTCAGCCCTTCCAGCATCCCATGGCAGGAGGGACCTTCCACCTCACTCACGAGATGGAAACGCTGGTGTGGGCAGTGAGTAAGAGGGTCACGCTGGTGCCAAGTGCTCGGGATATGCTGGAGGTGGGAAAAGCAGCTGGGACCTCTGCAATGGCATGTACACTGCCCGTGGAACCACAGTGCCCAGGCTGGCAGTGTCACCTTAGGTCCTGCCAGTGACACTGTGCCATGCTTCCCAGAGGGATGGGGCAAGCTGGTCCCTAAGGACCATGCCTGGGGACCAGAGACAGCAGCTAGGCTCTTATGCTGGGAGCACTGGGATCTGGATCCACCCAACTCAGGGGTTGTGGGATTCAGGGACTCCTGACAACACCCTCCTCCCCCCAGCCACTGTCCCTCACCATGTCCCACTTGGCCCTGGCCTTCTCCTCCTCGAAGCGGGCGAACTCCCGCCGGTCGTGGATGGTGATGAGGAGCTTCCAGATGAGCAGGGCAGCCAGGCCAATCAGCAGGATGGCTCCTGTCACTGACAGCAGGACCACCAGCACGTCTGGCCCCTTGGGGCAGTCTGTGGGAGGGAGGAGGGCAGGGCTGAGAAGAGAGCTCAGCAAACCCAGAGCTCCTCTGGTCTCAGGAGAGCTTCATCCTCCCCTCCTAGGGAGTAGGAGCCTCCACACTTCAGGCTCTATAAAGGAGGATCCCATCCATAGGGCACATATCCTGAGATCCTTGAGGTCCTTTCTACACCCAAACCTGGAGCAGTCCAGGTCAGGGGCATCACAGGTCCCATCCATGGTAGGGGTCTGACACCAGGGACCAGCTCCTTGGGCTGGTGGAAGTTCAGCCCCCAACCCATCAGCCTGGCTGATGCCCCACAGCATCCTCACCTCCCCAGCTCTGTATCAACCTAGCAAACCAGGGTGGTGAGATGAGGTGTGAAGCCCAGCACCCACCCTGCTCCCCCACACACTGCCTGGGGCCCTGCAGCCCCCCCC